AGAACACCCCTGCCTGAGTGGCTCTACAGGAAGCCACCACACAGCAGTGGGAGGGGAAAAACTGGCAAACAGTTTCAGATTGATAGAAGCATGGTTTTGATCTGGAGGGTCCCTAAAAGCATCTTGGGAGCCTGAGAGTCCATGTGCCATACGCTTAGAACCCCAGACTGTTCCTCTGACACTGACAGAGTCAGGACATCTTTATCCCTGTGCCCATGAGCCCATCTTTATCCCTGTGCCCATGAGCCCATGTGTGGGCTTAGTCCCATTGCCATCTCATATTGTTAGCACCTAGCTTTGTGGACTAGAAAAATAATCTTCTCACACCCATGATGATTCTTTTTCAAAGTTTCTTACTGTTCTTGCACATTTTGGGAGGTCAAATTCCATTTTAAAAAGTCCAGCTGGGATTTTGATTGGGATTCTAGTGACTTCCTTTACTAATTTGGGACAACCATGCACCTTCATTGCCTGAAAGCATGAAGAAGAGGATTTAAGAGAAAGGTGGTGGCCAAATGGTCCAATTTGAGGCATCTGGGCAACTCCCCCTTCTCGCAGGGTCTATCACTCACGTAAATTGTCATAGGTCTCTGCCCTGGCCACAGTGGTGGGCACTCAGATGTGTTTTCCCATCTCTGGCTGGTGAGGAAAACATGCTGACCTAAGTATCCAAAAGCATTGATTGCTGACCTTGACACTACCTAGAGGTTGCCATCAGAGCTCCTCCTGTGACAGGCACTGCCTGTTCCTTTGTAACTGCTGGAGAAAAAAATGATGCAAGCAACATGTTTTCTTATATTTTAAACATCAGAACCCTTTGTGTCCAGTCTCCCAAAACAGAAGCAGGAGCTGCATGAGACTCAGGCACACATAGAGAAACACCCAGCACAAGGTGGAGAGGGCAGGTGCAGAGCCCTCACCTTTGGCACTCTGTGGATATCCAGGAAGCCCAGAAATGTTGGTCAATAAGGAAACACACACCACACACAAACACACAGACTTTTAAAAGTGCTATCTGGATTTTTTTGTGTTTGTTTGTTTTGGTGTTAGTGGGGTTTGAACTCAAGGCCTCATGCTTGCTAGGCAGACCCTCTAGCCAGCACACTGGAGCCACACACCCAGCCCTGTTATCTGAATTTGGCACATGGCAAAAAAATACCATTCCCTAGCCTAATGGCTGAAAAGGTGAGGGTGGGGCAGGTGGGTGATGACATGTTGGCAGAGACACAGGTGGCTCTGAGGCTGTGGAGCTAAAACCAAAGTACAGTGTCCTCTGCAGTCTTAACCCTGCCACGATGAACACTGAGGCCTCTGAAGTTATGGCTGTCATGTGACATTGCCACAGCTTGGGACCTTGGGAAGGCTTCTTTCCTAGAAGTCCAGGCCAGGTTCAGGTTGTCATGCCCTGCTGTGTGAGCTCTCAGAAACATCCTGGTCTCCCTAGGTCTCAGTTTCCTAGCTGTAAAATGAAGGGATTAAGATAAATCAGGGCATCTTAACTTGAGGTTCCATGCATATCCATGTGGGAAGAAGGGGTTTCAGGGAATTTTCAAACCTCCCGAAATTATAAGGAATATTGTGTTTCTATGCATTTTTCTGAGAAAAAAGAAGGATTCTCAGAAAGTTAAAGATGTGGTTCCATCAGGTACTCTCACTGTTAATGATGCTCCAAATCCTGCCTAGCTATGTTTCCATGTCCCTTGCTTATTTTTCCTTCCCCACCTTGCAGGGCTCAGTACCCAGGCCACACTTTTGGGATTTGGAGGATTCAGGGGAGGGGGTCTGCACACTCTACAAAATCTGCACATTTCAGAGGCATCTAGTGAGTATGGGTCGGTGCCCAACCTCTCAGCTAGGGTCAGAGGAGAGTTCAAAGCCACCCCAAGCCAGCCAAGGAGGGCTTATTGAGGGTTGTGCGAGACAATAGAGGCCAGAATGGGAATGCCATCATTTGAAACCACATCTGATGCAATAAACACATCAGCCATTTATTAAGTTGGCTCCCAGTGGAGTTGGCTTATTTCCCATCATTACTTGTTTTTAAAAACCAGTAAATCAGTTTTGAAACAGATTTCTATTTCATAGTCTTATTATGGTACAGATATTTTCAACATCTAGCCGTTGGATCAGTGAGACGTGTTGCTTGGGAATTTGTACCTCCCTCTGAGAGTAGATGTGCAGGGATGGCCTCCTCTAGCTGCCATGGGTTCTTCACTCCCTCACAAGACATGGCCCACATCCCCTAGGGCCACCTGTCCCCACACTCCCAACCCTCCATCCTCAATGCCCTCACCCCCGCCACCCCCCACCCATCCCCTCAGGTTCTTCTGTCACACTAACCATCAGCATTCAATTCCTAGCTCTGCTGTTTCTTTTTCTTCCTTTTTTTTTGGTGAGGGGCGGCAATAATGGAGTTTGAACTCAGGGCCTCATGCATGCTAGGCAGGCAGTCCACCACTTGAGCCACTCCGCCAGACCTTTTTTTGTGATGGGTCTTTTTTTTTTTTTTCAGGAAAAAAATAGGGTCCTGCAAACTATTTGCCAGAGACTGACTTTAAACCATGATCCTCCTGATCTCTGCCTCCTGAGCAACTAGTATTACAGGCATGAGCCACGGCGCTTGGCAAGTCTGTTTCTTAAGCAAACTACTTCATTGCTTTCCTGCTTTCTGCCTCAGCTTCCCCATCTGTTAAGTGGGAATGGCACTTCTCCCTGGGCTGCCCTGAGGGTTGAGTGAAGGCTTTGAAACAGTGCCTTCCACATCACCAGTGATGGCAGCCATTGTTGTGAGTGATGATTCCTCCAGACACACTGGAGTGGGGCAGGCAGTGAAAGTGGACTGCATCTTGCATCCTCTCTTGGCTTTATGTCATTTTGCCACAGCTGCAAGCTCACAGGGACACTGCACTCTGCTGTGGATGGGAGGTGTTTCTGAAGTCTAGATACCAATACAAGAAGCTGCATTTTGATGTTGCTATAAACCTTTAAAATTCCCTGTCCACTGGTTGTGCTGCTCCCGATCGCATAGTAATTACAGGTAGAACTGCAAAGGGAACAGCACCCAGAAAATGGGCAGGAGCCCCTCCACAAGCTGTGACTCTCCCCCATTTTACCCGATAGCGTTTATACAGTTGACTTATGTGAACATCATGTCCACTTTGACTTCGAATCATTCTACCTGGGTTGTTAACACAAGTAATTTTGAGATTAAAGTTCAGCTTTCCGTGTGTTATTCAGTCAACACGTCTTTGGGTTCTGTTCTTTATTTTCTCTTCTAACCCTGGGGATCTCTCAAGATCTCTCAAGAGGTTGTACTACCTCTTGCTTCCTCTCTGCTTCATCACTTCCTCTTTGATCTCTCTGGCTTTTCCTTCCAGCCTTGTGCTCAGTACTGGTGTCAGCTCCTTCTTGCACTGCCCTGTTTCTCTGACTCCCATCTCCCCTCTGGTTACCTCATCCTTTTCCCTAGACTCCACCTCTGCTTTCCAGCCAGTATAGAATATAAAACTGACCTGGGCCACCTCCCCATGACTGAGTGGGGGGATAAGGGGGACAGGCATCTGAGTGTCCTATGTCAAGGCTGTTGAGAACAAGGCCATCTGTGCTTCCTGGGCCACCATTTTTGTATGTGTCCCACGTACACACGAGGCTCCTACCATAGCCATTTGCTTACTGGGGTAACCATCAGTGAAGCAAAGAGCTGGCCCAACCCTGTGACAGCCCTGGATCAGGTTGCTTCCTTACATCTTTCTGTCCTCTGGGATCCTCCTGCTTCTCAGAGACCTTGTGGCTTTTGTGATGCTGATAGTCTGCAGAGGCACTTCACTCACATTTTGTGTGTAGCCTCAGGTGCCAGACTGCAGCATGTGTTTAATCACTCAGTGACAGACAATGGCACTACCCTGGCTGATGCATTCAGTTCCTCGATCTAAGATGAATTATCAACAACCTAGAAATATCACTGGTGACTAGTGGCCTATCACAGTCAGATCTGTATGGCTCCATCCGTGGAGTCATAAGGAAGGCATGAGTTTTACTTTCTCCAGCCTGTAAGTCATTAGGCGAACGCAAGATGTGTGTAGAAACCAACAGGCCAGCCTATGATGAATGGGGTTCTTCCTGAGAAAATCTGCATCTTGTAAATGAAATATTCTAAACATTTGTGGGAGGAGAAATTCTCTCATACCTTCAAACCATCTCACTCTTGGTTGATGGAGCTCACCTGATGAAGAATGCCACGCATTTTTGCCTGTGGTGGTAACGCATGGTGTGGAACACCTGGCTTCCTCTTTCTCTGCCCGTGAAAAGAAAGTTATGTTTCCCAGCAGCTAAGCACAGCCTTGTATGCCAGGGATCAGCTGAGGGCTGGGCAGAAGTCTCCCTCCTAATGTCACTCTAAGAAATGCCCCTTCTGGTTCAGAGGCACAGGCCCCTTCCTCACAACTTCGTAAGTCAAGAACACATGGTCCACAGAAGCAGAGGGCTCTGGACCTCAGAAGCAGTCCTGCTCTGGGAGATACCTATAGTTACGACAGTTCTCAGCCTTCAGGAGCCAAAAGCAGTGTCTAATTAAAGAGATCCTCAATATTTAGTCCTTTTCCAAGACCTGAGCCTGATTAGATCAAAGCAGTGTGCTGTCTGATTTGGTGCACCATCATTGCTCTGTGAATCAGAGGAGAAAGTGAAGGTCAGTGGGTGAAAAGTCAGAGGCCCTGTCCACCATAAAGGAATAAGTGATGCTCAGGGAGCCCATGAGCTATTTACCTATCTAGAAATGCCCCTCTGTGCTGGAAGGTGATGGGAGAATATGGTATAGCCCCCCACCCGAAAGAGGTCTCCCTCTGGTTGTAGAGAAACTGATGTGGACAGGAGAGCGAGAAAGGACATGAGGCTAAACAGGCAAGGAGCCTGAGAATCGGCCTGCCTAGTCTCAGGTCATCCCACCCCCTGAGCAGCCATGTGAAGCCCCCTCTTCGTTTACCTCCTTGACTCAGCCTCACCGTGCTGGAGGCTGTGGTGTGCTTCTTCTCCGTCTGGTCCATCGTTGGCCTCTCAGGTTTCCACACGTACTTGATCAGCTCCAACCAGACAACAAATGAAGATGTAAGTTCCTAACTGCATGGCACGCGGGTGTTTAGCATTGAAGGAGGAAGGGAGAAGCCAGGGGCCAGCCTCTTCCATGCATCCCACCCCAGCTGTGAGACCTTGGGAGACAAAGAACGAGCAATGGGAGTATTTCCATGTCCTACTTGTCTCTACTAGCCACCTCTGTATTCTCCTGGTCTTTTCTGACCATGTTGGTTGGATGCTAAGATTGGCCTCATGACACCCAGCCAGCTGGGTCCTAAGAAGATTCTTTCTATTCCTCTTAAATAGTTTTGGAAGAAACTTGTCACATCTTACCTAACAGAGAGTCTATGGCAGTCTGACATCTTGGGGTGGTTGTTATGAATGAGTCTACCTTTCACACTAAATGTCTCTCTTTAGTTTTTGGAGGAAATTGCCCTGGACCAAAGTTTAACTTTGTATCCAGGGCCATCTGCCTGTTAGTAATTCAGGTAGAGCGGAGGGAGAGAAATACAAAACAAAATGTTACAAAGTGTTTCTCAGTAAACACCGTCCTCCATGCTCTGCATGTTTAGATTTTGATAGAAGTCTGTATCCATGCATGAATTAAGTGTCTGGGAATTGGTCAGGTTACCTTAAACAAAAGCTTGAGAAAATTTGATGGTATCCAGGAGTGGTGGCACACATCTATAATTCCAGCTATTTGGGAGGCAAAAGACCAAAGGATGGTAAGTTCGAGATCAGCCCAGGCAAAGTTAGCAAGACCTTATCTCAAAAAGAAAAGAAAACAAAAGAGCTAGGAGCATAGCTAGACTGACTGCCTAGTAAGAGCAAGGCTCTGGGTTCAATGCCCAGTACTGAAAAGGAAAAAAAAAAAAAAGTACAAAGAAAGAAAAGACAAATTGATGGTGATAAAATAGACAAGATAAGAGACTACTAAACCAGTTCATTTGATTTAGTAACTGAATATTAGTGTTTGCACAATAGACTGTTTTAGCATGACTGTGAGGCTGAACTCTTAGTCTAAATTGGCAGTTGGGGTGTGCATTAACTTTTTCAGCTACCATTCATTTAATTATGATTTAGGGTACAAAATAAGAGTAAAAAATTGTCCACTAGCTTACATGAAAAGACTCCTTAGTACCATGTGGTACAAATAAAGATCATTGTCCCCAGAGGATGTTGCTCTGTCCCTAATCTAAGCCGCTGTCTGAGGCTATTCCCCAGTTTGGGTAAATGCCTGTCTTCCTCTACGAAGGTACTTCAGTGGACATACCTCCTGGTGAAGAAGTGAGTACAGACTATTTACATTCTTTATGGGCTCCTCTCAGTACAGTTTGCCTGAACTGTGGCACCGGTATGAAGGATATTGTGTTATTGATTCTCCTTTTCTTTCAGATTAAAGGATCTTGGTCAAATAAAAGAGGTAAAGAAAATTACAATCCCTACAGCTATGGAAATATCTTTACGAATTGCTGTGCTGCCCTGTGTGGGCCCATCTCTCCAAGGTAAGATTCATAAAGCTTCCTGCTCTGAACAGATCTGGAAGAGCAAATACCTTATCTGTGTTAGCACAGGCTTACAAGGCAGAGGCCTGGCCGCTACCTGGTGAAATTGGTCACACCCACTGATTATGTCAGCTCAGTTCTCCTTGCTGTGTCTTATAGACACAGCCTTAATGAAGTAGAGCTCTGGCTTCATTTGGTCATCTTTTTTGATCTGAAACTGAATTTGTGAGAGATTCCCTAAAGCTCAGAATAGGAAAACTGAAGCATTAACTATTAATTATTGAATGACAGCTGTGATGAGCAGGGGCTGTGACTAGCATAGCGAGGGAGCCAGGGCGCCTATGAAGGAAACAGTTAGAAACTAGTGCTCAAGGGTAAAGGGCACAGAATATAATGCTGAGATCGTTCTGAGGAGGAATCCAGGTGAGCTGGAGTAATTAAGATGTGGGGATAACGATAGTTTTAATTATGGTGTTCACCGTGCTTCAAGTGTTGTACACAAGTTTGAAAAGCTCACTCTGCACCTGTGAGGTAGATACTGTTATCTCCCATTTTATGGATGAGGAAACTGAGGCACAGAATTTAAATAATGTACCAAGATCACACAACTAGTAAATGCTGGCTAACATCAGCACCAGTGTGTGTATCCGTAAATACATGCTGCCTATAGGTTATAACTGTGCAAGTTCAAAGTCCAGTCAATGTTTGATTATCTGTGAGTGATGCCCAAGTAGACTATTTCCTACATGCTAATCCACACACGCTGATTGGACAGGTGTACCAGGTGTCTGGCTGAGTTTCTAATCAATTACTACTTCCTCCTTTTTGATCTCAAGTGTAAAACAGAGAAACCACAAAGGCCATTGCTTGTGTTCAAGGCAGTCTCTGTGTGTGCCTAGACCTCACCAATTTGTCCTCATGGATGCACACTTCATGTTATTACCAGCCTCAGTGCACTCTCATTAGGAAAGTAAAAGGAAAGGGGAAAAAAATAGTGAGTGCTCAAGTGTGAGGCTTGGGTCCAATCCCAGTACTGTAAAGAAAAAGAAAAGTAAAGAACTGCGCCTCTTCTTTCTTACCTGAAATATGCTTTCAAGTCCAGGAAAGGAATTGAAACTCTGGCATTCTGTCCAAATCTCTTTTTATCTCTGGGTCCTGGATTCACGTGTGGTACTGCTTTATCAGTTCATAGATAAAATCTTCTCACAACCAAAATGACTTCTTTCACAATTGAATTAAATTTGCTATTTTGGATAAGTTGGGGCCTTCTTCCCAAATCCAAGTTCTTTGGGTGGGGTTCTTCTCAAGGATGGCCCTCCTTTGGAACTGCTTGTATTGCTTGTTAAAAGGGAAACTGAGGCCCACTGAAATGTTACAGAGTTTATTTGAGCAGGCAGCAACTCCTGAATTGGGCAGCTCTGGTCCATAAATGGTTTGGAAGGGACACAGGGAGGCTTGTCTAGGGTGAGTGGGAGGAAGGTGAAGGAAATGCAAATGCTAGGTTGCTTAAAGTGGAGTAGCACCTCCTTCAGATCATTCCAGTGAAGTCCCTGGCTAAAGGTTAGTTAGCAGCTTCTGATTGGTCAGGATGAGTCACACCAAACTGGGTTTCATTTTGCACACATAGGGACCCAGGGTGCTAAAGTGACCTCAGCCTCCTGGCCTCCCTGTGCATTATTTTAACACACTCCAGCTATGCACAGGGCAAGGGCCTGGCTCCCCTCACTTTTCTCACAGGCTCCCCGACCTGGCCCAAGGCAGGGGGCGGGTGTTCATCTCTGCTCCTTCCCCCTCTCCCCCCCCCCACCGGCTTCTTCTTGCCTTCTCCTCTCTCTACCTACCTGACCCCACCTCTGTGTCTTCACATGGGCCAGAACCTTCCCTGGGCAGCCCTGCTCATATAAACAGTGCCCCCCATCTCAGTTCTGTGTGCCAGAATCATGGGTTAAGTTGTCTCTAATGTGTTATAAAGCAAGTCTTTACATTCCCATTGAGTCTATGGGGCACAAAGACCCACGTCCTGACCCCTGCTGCAGACTGATCGCTACAGTCTCTTGTACCCGAGATGTGGGTGGCACCTCCCTGGGAGCAGCCAGATTTGGGGAAAGGGAATCCTCAGACATGTCTAGCAGGAGGAATGGAAAGTCAAGAAGACAGAAAGTCCCAAGGAAGGGCCAGAGCCAGGCCCTACTTGAGCCTGTTCTGTGGGTCAAACAAGTGATGAGAATTCACTTGGCCACTACTCACTGAGCATGTGCTGTGGGCAAGCTCGGTGCTAAGCCTGGGGTATACATGAGAGAGGTGCTATCTCATGGGCCCCATGCTCAGTGGACCAGTGGTGCACAGTGACAGTTCTATAGGATGCCCAGAAGGGAGCAAAGTTTGATCTGTTCTAAAGGATAAGTAGGAATTAGGGGGAATGAATTGGGGTGGGGAGTAGAGCAGAATTTGTACAGATGAGACAGCAGGTGCTGAGGCCGTGATGAAGAGAGGACCTTGCTTAGGAGAGGAAGAACCAAAAGAGCTTGTATGGGGAATGAGGGGATGAGGAGAGACACCCCTCCCCCAAGCTGTGCCTCTCAGCTAGTCCTGCTTCCCCAGCTCCCTGGTCCATAGTTGGGAAGGATTCTGGAGAGTGTACAAGGAAAGGCCCATCTTAGGCTGTGGTGTGGCAGGATCCCCACAGACTTTCTAAGCCTGTGGGTCTTTGAAGCTGTCGGGTCCTGTCCTGGGGCACTCAGAGGCCCTCCAGTTGCAGCGTCTTGATGCAGCAAGGCTGTTATCCCAGTGGTCATTTGCAGACTCAGCCCTAGTCTGTAACCAGCCACCTCACAGGCATCAGGGGCCTCTCTGGGGTGCTCTTGAGTTAAATCCTAAGTAGCTTCCTATGGTGCCATAAAAGGGGGACTTAAAACAACATTCTCACAGTTTGGAGTCTGGAAGTCTGAAATCAAAGAGTTTCCAGGGCTAGGATTGCTTTGAGACTCTGGGAAGGGTCTTTCCTGCCTCTTCCCAGCTTCTGGGTGTGGCTGGCAATCCTCATCGTTCCTTGGTTTGTAGCTGCTTCACTGTAGTCTCTGCCTCTGTGTCCCATGGCTTCCTCCCTGGGAGGCTCTCAAGGCCCACTGCAGTCAACTATGAGCTCATCCTAACTTGGTTCCATCTGCAAAGACCATTCTTCAGTAAGGTCATACTCACAGGCTCCGAGGTTGAAACCTCAACATATCTTCCCACCATTCAACTCCACAGTATTCCTCTTTACGCCAATGCCAGATGTGACTTTGTGCAGGAGGATGGGGAAAATCTTTTTTTTTTTTTTTTTTGCAGGACTGGGGCTTGAACTCAGGGCCTTCACCTTGAACCACTCCACCAGCCCTATTTTTGTGAAGAGTTTTTCAAGATAGGGTCTCATGAACTATTTGTCTGGGCTAGCTTCAAACCACAATTCTCCTGATCTCTGCCTCCTGAGTAGCTACGATTACAGGCGTGAGCCACCAGCGCCCTGCCCAGATAGGGGGATCTTGAACAGAAACAGAGATGGCAAAGCACAGAGTTCACACTGAACATGAGACTAGAGGAAAGCTGGGGACAGATCGTGGCGGGGGAGGTCACCAGGAGGGAGATGTTGGGGTCTGCCTCGGGGGCCAAGCATTAAGACCAACAAGAGGACAGCCATTGGCACAGGCCTCTTTAAAGGCAGAAATAACAGCACTTGGTAGCTGGTTTTATGTGGAAGGTGAATAAGGTGTATCCCAAGGTGCCGAGGTAGGGCCATCACAAAGAGTAAGCTAGATTCAAACATTTAAATCTTGTTGCTATCATCTTTGGGTTTTAATTCACATGCCTTCCTGTGTTTTCTTCTCTCTTGCAGCCTAATCGACAGAAGAGGGTATATTCAGCCTGACACTCCACAGCCAGCAGCGCCCTCCAACGGGATCACTATGTACGGGGCCACACAGTCGCAGAGTGACATGGTAGGGACCACCTGCAGGGGGGCCAGCACTCCCTGTCAAGGCTTCCATTTTGCTTCCACATTCTTTAGCCCAGTAACAAACTATGTACCTCCTGGCAGGAGGGGCAGCTGGGACATCCATGTGACCAACAGGCTCACTCAAGGAAAGTGATTGGCAAAAGAGGGACCATGGCCCTGATTCTGGCTGGCTCATGGTGTAGGGAAGGCACGTAACACACAACGTCTGTGCACACACAGGCTCACTGATAGGCCACCCATTTTACAGAACCAGGGTGTCATTGACGGATAGGATTCACTTTTCCCAGCAGGGCCAGTCCTGCTTTATAGAATTCTGTTTCCTGTGCTGGCAGTGGCCCTATCTGTACTGATTCCCCACACACATACTTCTGTAAGTGTGCAGTGGGCAACCCTGACAGTTCTCCATACTTCCAGCCTGAATCTTAGAGTGGCTGTGCACCCTTCATGCAAATCGCCAGACCAGATGCTTCTTCATTTACCACACAGGCCACCTGAGCACCTCTCCAAAGCACCAATACTGAGCACACACCAGAGCAGGGACAGTCACAGCAGAAGCCTGGAGAGGGCCAGAGTCTCTCTATGACCACCACAATCACAGTAAGGCAACCCTGACCCTAAGTGCCTTGAGTCCACAGGTGTCTGGAGGCCAGTGGCCTCTCTATTTCCCTTAAAAAGTTCTGTGTTTCTGCAAAGGAGCAGTCTTTGACCCCCATCCCCAGTGCTGTTTGCTCTGTAGAGCTAAGTTTCCCAGTTTCTGTGACACACAGGTCAAGGAGCTGACTTTAGGAGAGACTGGAGTGGAGGGGAGCAGATCCCCAGGGCACCTTGCTTCTGAGCACAGAGAGCTGCAAGGTGAAGGCCAGCAGCCCCTGACTATCTCTCAGAGCTGGGGCTGGGGGAACCCTTTCATTCTCTAGTCACCCCTGGCTCCAGCTGAGACTGGCCCTGAGTAAAACCATGAAACTCTATCCAAAAAACAACTAAAGAAAAAAGGAGGGCAGCGGAGGCATGGCTCAAGGGGTAAAGTGCCTGCCTAGCAAGTGCGAGGCCCTGAGCTCAAACCCCAGTACTGCAAAAAGAAGAGGACGGAAGGAAGGAAGGAAGGAAGGGAGGGAGAGAGGGAGGAAGGGAGGAAAGGAAAGGAAAGGTAAGCTATCTTGAAGGTGTTGTCACCAGCAAACCATTTTAGGTCAAGATAGAATAGGGCATAACTCATTAATTCAATAGACCTTTATTGAACACCCACTGTGAGCCTCTGTGACAGCAAGGGCCAGTGGGTTTGCAGAGGAAACCGGAGGGGGTTTAGCTCTACTTGGTTCATCAGCTTCTCTGCTGGAGGCCATTCTGTCTGGAGCTGCACTGTGACTCTTGTTAAGAGTGTGCCACCGTGGGCACTAGTGTACAGAAATGGTTAAAATACGATTGCCTATTCTCTGGGAAAGCTACCTCCCATGCAACCAGCAACCTGAAGGCGCGGGGCTGTGATGGCACCAGCCTTGTGTGGAGAGACACTGCAAAGACAAGGAAGCAGCGTGTGACAGTGATGCAGTGGCCCCTCACTGACCCTCATAGCGCCATTCACATTCACAGCAGGGTGAGTTTTATGGCATCTGTTCACTTACGAGTTTGGGCGCTGCACCAGGAAGCAAGAGGATATGATAATACGTGACTCCTCACCCTCCTTTTGCTGTGTCTGGAGATAAGAATCCATGAGGGCAGCCAGGAGAGAGTTGTGTGCGGTATCCACAAGCCACATGGTGCCAGGCAGAGTCACCAACTTGGGAAGAGCTCTGCACTCTAATGTGGAGCCTCTTCTGTGCTGGCCAGGGCATTAGTGGTATGAGTCCTGATGTGGACAGAGAGAGGACCCGTGGCCTGGATCACCTCCCCAGATGGACACAATGCTCAGACTTCATGCCCTGCACCGTGCACACCTGAGCACAGATGCCCAGCGCTTTTCCTCCCACACCCCACCTCAGCATCAGCACACACAGGGGAAGGCGCTCCCTCCAGCCCTGGGTTTTGGTCTTCCTGAAGCATTTTTGGGAAGAAGGCTCGAGAGGTCCCATGGATGCAAAAGGTTGCATAAGGCCAGAGCTGCCACAGGTGCTGTGCTGTGGACACTGAGTGTCATAGCCCTCATGGAGTCTGCTCCCCGTGCGCTCTGACACATGCCATTTTGCATGACATCAGGATCCAGCTCTTCTGAATGCCCATGGGCCCCAAGGTAAAGAAACTCCATCCACGCATACCATCATCTATATTCTCCCTGTCAGAGACAAATCTTTCAAAAATCTAAAAACCCTAGAAGTCCTGTGCCTGTGAGCACCACTCCAGATTCTGGATAGCCCAGAACTGTGGGGTCAAGACCCTGAGTCAGGATGCTCATGGAAGAGTGCGGAGGCGACTCTTCCATGTGGTGACCATGCAGTCATCCAGAACCTGACTCTCAGATGCCTTCCTTGGCCCCTCTTGAAGAGGAAAAGAGGGAGATAGGGACTAACTGTGCAGATACAAGATTGCCACCACTTACCAGATAAGTTAACACTGGTGTCCTCAACTGGTAGGGTTTCTATGAGGATCGAGTGAGTTAATACATGTACAGCACTTAAAACCTTATCTAGCACAAGATAAGTACTATGTAAGTGTCAGCTCTTATTATGCACCTGGCATCCATGACTGGACAGATCCACCAAAGCGACTGTATCCTTTCTGAGCAGTTGGACGATGATGGATATGACTGGATTGAAGGAACCAGGCTCCCACCAGATAGCTCCCTCATGATTAGCAAGTCACTGCCTCTCTGCCTCAGTTTCCCTCTTTTGCAGAGTAAGAGCTGGAACTAATTTGTACATCAAGCCATTTGTGAGTTTCTGATCTTTGTAGCTTGGTCAGTAGGTCAGGACAGAGATAGCATCTCAGCACCTACACACAGGAGAGTCTCACCTCTAAGAGAGTAAACTGTGACCCTCAGCTCTTCCTCCTTCTACCCATCCTATCCAACAAGCCCAAAACTGAGTAAGTCATCACTTGCTACAGATCAGAGGGGATGCTGTGTCTGGTCGTAACATAAAACTTCTCTGACAATAGGACTGTGCCTTGCCTTTCTGACTTGTCTCCTATTTCTGGGTAAATGTTTCTGGTCATGATATATATACAGTCATCCTTATATGTTGCTGGAGTCAGCTTGCTCATTTATTGCCGATGAGTTTTGCAGCATATTCATAGGAGATATTGTCTGTACTTTCCTTTCCTTATAAAATCTGTGGTATCAGGACTAACACTGGCCTTTGGAATGAGTTCAGGAGTGTGTATATTACTTGTGCTTTTTGAAGAGTTTGTGAGGCATTGGGGCTAATTCTTTAAAGATTTGGAAGCCCACTGGTCTTGAGCTTTCCTTGGTGGGCAGTTTTTGCATTGTTATTTGCCCTCTACTTATTATGGCTCTTTTTGGGTTTTCTATTTCTTGCTGGGTCAGTATCAGTCATATGTATCTTTCTAGTAATAAGGTTATCTCATCCACTGCCATTGTCCCAATGTCCACATCAGTATTGTTTTAGTCTGCAAATAGTAGGACCACTTGAGGACCAAGAAAGTTAAGTCAAAGAGAAAATGACAATAATTTGTAAAAGTGGAGGGAAGGAGAAGTATCCAAAGACTTCACTGAGAGTAAAGAAGCAAGTGGAGTAAGCCCTGAAGAGAGAAACTGGATCTTTGCATTTGGTTTTGGTTTTGGTTTTAACACTCTACAAAATGCATGCTACTCTCCCAGCTAAGAGAGCTGGAAGCTCTAGCCAAGTGGATCCCAGCATGCATCAGAGGTTCTCTGCTGCTTGCTTTGTGTTCCCTACCTGTGAGTTATGTTGAAGCTGAATGTACATGCCCAGCAATTTCCGGGGTTGTCAAGATAGGGAAAAATGGGCTAAAATATATCAAGACTGCCAACAAAGTTAGTTCTTTGAGGCAGTTGCACCATTCCTTTCCTTTGACTTGCTTAGACTGCCCATACCAGGCATCCCAACCAAGACCATCACAGTTAGCCAGCTGGCAGGACTGACCAACAGGAGCCCAAAGCTCTGCAAGTTCCCTAGTCTCTGGTACAGCACTGGACACCCAGGCCCTTGGAAAGCCAGCCCCACCATCAAGAGCAGCTGGCCCAGCAACTTCCCAAGAAACCTATCAACTTCCTTTTTATTTACTTATTTCATATTTTGGATACAGTTAGAGCTCACAATCAATAAAAAAAGATCTTGTGTTCTGCTCCTCATTTAGACAGTCACGAAAACAAACAGTTGAGTCAGTCACAATCTCAGGTGAACTTTGCGTCACTGGAGTAGACCGACACAGTGTGCCAGCGTGGCTCTGCTGAGGTGCACCACTCTGGCCCCTCGGTAGAGTCGCTGACGCATTGCAAGGATCATTGTTTCATCTCCACAGCCACATAGAAGGGACCCTCATTTTACAAAGGATGAAACGGAGGCTTTAAGTTGTTGAGTAACTCGCTCACATTCACACATGTGCTTTCTAAACACATGCTGGCTTTCAATTTTAAAAGCCCTTGCCTGGTATCAATGCCCCTCTTCCGAGGCTGCCCTTTCACCTGGACTGAGGAAACAACTTAGCGTGACCAATATTCCCTGACCTGGGATGCTCACCAGCACCACATCATGGACATCTGAGCTCAGTTGTCAGAACCCCAGTGGGGGCCCAAGCACGGGATTGTTACAGTCATCCGGGTGATTTTAGGAGGAGGCCAGCACTGAAAACCATCACCATAGCCTTCAAGTTCATACATTCTCCAAAAGTTTGGGCTATATGGAATGATTTTAAGCCTTTTCTTTTTTTTGCTTTGGTACAAAGAAAGTCACATTTATCTCAAAAAACTTCAAGTCAATTTCACTCAACTAACACATGGTCTACTCAGAGAAAAGACCATAAAGTGGTCTGCATTCCGTGAAGATTTCAACAGAATGTGTTAGAATT